TTTGATAATTTATTTTTATTGTCCCCATTCATTAAATTTAAACAAATAATTTTAGTTATCATTTTCTATTAAAACTAGTCAAATTTCATGAAATTTTTCATTTAAAGTATTGAATTCCAAAAAATATTAAACAGGGCGGGACACTCGTTACCCTGTCCTGTCCCTGACCCGAATACCCGATTAAGCGGTAATTCCCGCCCCTTTCGGAGTGGGGGATAGTGGATATCGAGTTTGTCGGATTTTTTTGCCATCCTCAGTCTTAAGGTGACACTTAAATTAGTAACTCGAAATCTCTAAGTATAGAACTAATTAAAATAAGGAAAAAAAAAAGAAGTAATTATTCAAAAACGTTTAGAGATAAAAAAAAAGTTACAACTTTCGTTACAACTTTCATTTCAGTTATTGAATCATAATGCCTTCCTTGATACTTTCAGTCTTGACTCATAACCCTGATGATACTCCATGGGCCTCAAAGATGTAAAATTATAGATTGTGCAGAAAATTTGGAGTTCAGAATTACAATAGGTGGGGACGGAAAACGAAAAAAGGGATTGTTAAAATCAACGTGCACATACCATAAACGAAAAAAAATGAAAATGTCAACAAATAAATCTAGTAGAAGTAGGATAAGATTGATGTAGAGTTGCACCACTCAGATGCAATATTGATGTCAATTCTTTCGATTGTAGACGTAGCGTATCATGTCCGGACTTCCTGGCTGGCTGTAATTTCCTCATTGTGCAGAAAATTTGGAGGTCAGAATTACAATAGGTGGGGACGGAAAGCGAAAAACGGGATTGTTAAAATCAACATGCACATACCCTAAACGAAAAAAAAATGAAAATGTCAACAAATAAATCTAGTAGAAGTAGGATAAGATTGATGTAGAGTTGCACCACTCAGATGCAATATTGATGTCAATTCTTTCGATTGTAGACGTAGCGTATCATGTCCGGACTAGCGCAACTTTTATCTTGGCCTGTGCTGTCCAAAAGGCGGGCTGGACATGGCAGGCCTGGGCAGCCAAACCCGTCTTACACCTCTAGGCTGGATGGGTTCATATGCCTAAAAGCTTGCCAAACCTTCAAAAGAGTTGTGTCAAACTTGGATCAAACAAAGAAAGATTCGATTTCTTTTAACTGGCTGCAGCCAAAATATTCGGGCAGGTTTTCGGCCTAAACGTTTTCATCATTCTTCAGATTCCCTGGACCCTATTAGTCACAATTTCAACACAAGTGGCCAATCTTATTCAAAGCATTCAACTTCGACGTCGACTCACATGTATTGAGTAAATGCTCCAACTAAGACTAGAATAATCATTTCTATACCATTTTATTTGATGCAGTTATCAAGTTCTACAGGTTCTTCAGAGATTCGTGAACTCCAATACATTAGCATCAAAGAATCTACTAAAGCCTTTTTTTTCCACATATCTCCAGTGTTCGGACCATAAGTGAAAGGCATTAGATTCCATCTTACCATTTCACGCAATCAAGAATTCAACTATAAATATAGTCGAAAAGATTAACTATGTACGGTTAACATTTCTAGTGATTTAACAAGTTTTCGTAAACATAGAATGGATAAGAAACGAAACCTGAAGCTCCACGACAAACATCAAAAGCATCACCATGCCCCGGATGCTTACGAGCTCTATGAAGCTGAGCACACGGCGCTGTGGCTTAAAGACGCTCATCCACGTCCAAGTGCTCATGTGAACTCCAATCAGTTTGAAGAGATGAGTCCTATGGATGAAAATAGAATTGTAGTCCAGAAAAGAAACCAGAAGCTCCATGACAAGCATCATCAGCCCTCGGATGCTTACGAGGTTTATGAAGCTGAGCATATGTCGCGGTGGCTTAAAGACGCTCATCCACCTCCAATTGCTCGTGCGAACTCCAATCAGTTTGAAGAGATTCGTCCTAAGGCTGAAAACAGAATCACAGTGGACTACTGGAGCACGAATGAGGACTCGACTGATGGAAATCGTGTAAACTATGATGAGGTCATTGATGCTGAGGCAGAAAAGTTCATCGTAATGGAGCATGAGAAGCATGGCCTAAGAAAATGGATGCCTATGAAGGGGTATTAAGCCTCCTAAACCACAAATATCTGGAGGGACTTAAAGCTAATCTAAATAATGTGCTACTGTGTTTAATTTCACAATCCCATGTATTTTTTTTTTTCCGTCATAATTCTCGGATCGTAAGTGAGAAGTTACCTATCTACTTATATGTCATATATATATTTTTGTATCAGCAAAGTTATATGAATATTGTGCAAGAAAATAATTTATAGACGATCCCAAAAGTTCTGATGCAGAAGCAGAATTTTTGTCGCAAGGTCGTATCCTCAAATCAGTACTGATTTTGCATATAATCTACAATTTGATCACTAACATATACAAAATGAAATAGTATAGTTCAACTACAACTTGTAATTAATCCTTTACTTACACGAAATTAGGCACACATCGAGCAAGACATATATACATCACATGAAAACAAACAAAGCATCACATAAACTTATTGTGGTTCGGTATAAACATGAAAGCAACATCCGCTCACCAACTATGAACAAAAAGGTTAAAATGGTGAATGCTATTACAACTCATCGAGCCCGCCATAGACATTCTACATAATGGAACGGCAAAGAGGACAATTACTATGTTGTTTATCAAGCCACTTCTCCAAAGAATCCCTGTGGAAGAAATGCTTGCAAGAAAGCTCACACACTTCCTCATCAGCTTGAAACTTGCAAAGACACACACAACACTCGGTCGAAGGCCACATATGGTAATCGCAATTCCCGTCACAGCCCCGGTCAGTTTTATCAGGACTAATGCATCGGTTTCTGCACAAAGAGCGATATAGAGTTATTGACACTCTTACAGCCCTTAAATCGCCAGAATCATCACTCATAGCCTCTTCCTCAACGAAATCTTTATTGGCGGCCGCAACACCACCACTAGGACCGCCTACTTGCAGCATAGATCTTAGCATGTTCTTCACAGCAACCACCAACATAGCGATGTTCATCACCAGCAGTGGCAGCACCCCTTCAGCTGGACTAGGAAAATTTGGAAGCCCCAAGAGAGGGAAACGGTTTCTGTGAAGTAGAATCACTAACCAAGTTTTGTAGTCTACTACAATATATTGATTCTTTTGAAGAGTTCATATACAGGGCATGCAATATGTTTCAAAGGAAAACCAACTCCAAAGGTTATCATGGGGGTGGGATATTATTGACACGTTTAAACTTTCTGTTACTGAGGATGATTGAGTTCAAAAACTTGTCTAATAATCAAACGTGGTTTTTTTTTGGAGTGGTGACGTGTGAAAATGTTGGGACAGGAAAGAAGTTTCTTGATTTGTATGAAGACTATGATTGAACAAACCAAAAGTAGTCAACACGTTTGACTGCTTAAATTTGTGTTGCGGGGAAGAGTTAAAGGATGAAATACAAGGAAATAGCCGGTTGATCCGGCCATGTGTAAGCTTTCTGTTACTGAGGATGATTGAGTTCAAAAATTTGTCTACTATTCAAACGTTATTATTATTTTTTTTGAAGTGGTGACGTTTGAAAATGTTGGGACTGGAAAGAAGTTTCTTGATTTATATGAAGACAATGATTGAACTATAGTTATTAAACTCGATTCGGCCATTAACTCGATCAAGATACTGGGTCATTACTTAAAAATTTAAAGTATATTTTTTTAAATTTTTTTTAGACAATTAAAATTTTCAAGTTATTTGTTACTAGTTTATTAGTTATTGACCAATAATTTACGTGTATTATCTTTTCAATTTATTTTAGTTAAAATTAAAATTTTCAAACAAAATAAGCATATAAAATAATTATTTGATATTAAAAAATGAGTGAAAATATTGGACTAATTTTAATAAAACTATTCTTAGAAGACAGCAAATTGTTCATAGGTTAGATATAATTTATTACACAAAAGGACAACAAAGTGTTGTTTGCTTTGGTGGTAAGACTATATTCTAGTTAGCTAGATGTCAAGGTTTCAAATCTTTAGTCCCCTAAAATTTCAATAGAGAAAAGTTTTGAAATTTGGTTTAAAAATCAACCGGCCTGATAATTAAATGATATCGGCTAATTGACCCGGTCAAATCTGATTTTTGATCGGGCCACTTGCATTTACATAATATAAGCTTGCAGAATAAGGTCTGGGCAACCAGTTTATTAGGCCAATCGGTCGGGCCGGGTTGATTTTAATAACACCGGATTGAACAAATGAAAAGTAGCCAACACGTTTGACTGCTTAAATTTCCGTAGCAAGGAAGAGATAGATGAAGAAATACAAAGAAACAGTCGGTTCATTCGACCATTAAAAAAAATATTTAAAAGCACAAAATGTTAAGTTAAATACCAAAACCTAAAAATACCCTCATTGTCAACCAAGTGTACGAGGGGAGATGAAAAAAGAAAGGCTTAATAGCACAAAACGTCCATATGTTTGACTTTTTGTGTGCATGACATCTATACGTTTCAATTTTTTGCATTTTCACCATTATTTCAACGTTTCATTGTGAAAAACATTCTTCTGTCCATCTGCTGTGAGTTTTACCGTTAATTGCATACATGAACTCACTTTTAATTTTTTTCCTCGAAGGGTAAAATGGTCAGACCACTTCAAAAACATCTTCTCCCCCATAACTCGCACAGTTCATCTTCCATCTTCTCCACTCTTCACGTCCCATGCGTACCCATTTTTGTCATCCTCTTCTCCTATCATCTACAATATCTCCTCTTGTAGTAAGCTATTCTCTTCACACAGTGGAGGGCGATTTGAGAGAAGGTAATATTTCAAGCTTTGAGTAATCGAGGATTCCTTGCTATTTTTTATGGAATATATTCTTGTTTTTCACAGGATTTTGTGTCGAATGAAAATGTTTCCTCCACTTATTATAGAGCCCGACAACGAGACACTCACATACGGTATGAACGCGTCCATCCATGATCATTGTTTTCCCTTCATTAATTTTGTTGCTATGTGAAATTAAAGTGTGGAACTCTATTGCAATAGGAATTGGAAAAAGACCTTTAACACTGTGATGATTATTTTTGTGGTTTGTAGGTATTCCACTAAAATTACATGACATTGGTTGGGAGTTGAAATTTCCGTGGTTTTGGTTGGGTTTTGAGCATTGTATGATGTGCAGTCCATTATTGCCTTGATTTGATCAGTGTGCTTTTATTTATTTCTATACCACCTTTCACTGTTCATTCTCTCATCTCCATATACTTTTGCATTGAAGTACAAATTTTGGCTTCTTCATTGTTGAATTGCATCACATAGGAAATTTTTATGCTAAGCTAAACAATTTGGCATACGAACATGGATTTGTGCTTTTCTTCAAATTCTTCCATGCCTCATTGTTTGCGAAAGGTAATTTAATGAAGTTCTTAGGGATAGAGATGGGCATCCAGTAGTGCAGATATATGTTGTAGCCCCATTGCAATTACATGCATTGCCATTGCATGCATCGATCTCAGAAGTTGATACGTCATGCAATGAACCACAAACATTTGAAGGTTGTTACGCACCTTCTGTGGAAGAGAACGAGGGTGAAGAGCCTGAAATTGATTGGCCAGATCATTTTTTCCATGAGAATGCAGAAGAGTTGTGGTCACATTACGAGGAAACCTTCCAATACCGTTATGAAGAAGATCAACATTGGGTGATATGGGTGCTGAAGATTATGATGTCAGGGTTGAAGCTCACAACAATAAACAAAGTAAGGGTTATGAGGTTGAAGGTTTGGTGGAACCTGATTACGAGATTGAGGATCAGCTAGCGTTTAATGCTGAAATCGAGAATCAAAGGGTTAATTTTGATTTTGGATTCGGTGTGGCAGATGAGCATCAGGTTAGGGGTTCGAATACTGACTAGGGGACTCCGACGAGTTGCGAAGCATTGATAGTACAGATGAGGATGATACAACTTCAAGAAGAAGGGCTTCGACTGATGCTTTCAATTCAATGACTGATATGGAGGATCTAAAGTTCAAACGAGGTAACTTCAACACAATCTTTACCTTACTTTTAACCTTTCTTATGTGAATGACTGATATGATTCTACTTTCTAATTGTTAGGGTTGGTATTTGAGTCCAGTCTTTGTTGAAGGCACTATCACATCACATTAGTTAGAAGCAATAGAGAGATTAAATACAAAAAGGATGATGCTTTGAGATTGAGAGCCAATGCAAGAAAGACTGTCCCTAGGTGTTGTATGCTACCAAGGAACATAACAAGACAAGTTGGGCGATCAAAACATATGTGGAAGAGAATACGTGCCCCATGGTGTATAAGAATTTTAGAGTAAGCTCCACTTATTTAGTAGATAGATATTTATCTGATTGGAGGTTTGAACCAAATATGTCGGTGATCACATTGATGAGTGTGCTTTACGCACGAGTTTCGTACCATTCTAGCTTCATTTGGTTGCTTCATTTGTTAATTATAGAATGAATTTAATGTGTTTGCTACTGTTTTCATTGAAGGAATGATAATGATGAAAAAAGGGATCTGAATCAATGGAAGAAGAAAAAAAGGACCATAGATGCAGCGCCTAGGCGCTCTCCTTGCCTTGCCAGGCACTGCACCAACAGCAAACCAACAGAAGTGCAGCGCTTAGGCGCTGCCTGAGAAGACTTCGCGGCACCTAGGCGCTGCCTTCTAGCTCTTAGGTGTTGCGCCGTAAAATTTAGGTTTTGTTTTTTTTTTTTTTTTTCTTCGAAAAACCCATGAATGAGTCTCCAACTTGGCCATGAATGTGAGGAACTATAAATAGACTGAGGAATGCACAAAATAAAGGTTCCACTCCTTGCAAAATTAAGAGAA